AGCTGATCACTGACATGATGACGATTTTCTCCATCAACGGATGTAGAATATCTCAAAAGATGCACGTGTTATATTCTTAGATATACTTGTAATGGAATTTGAAAGACGTTACCAAGACCTGTATACAGTATTGGGGACTACATTTAGGGTTTAATAAGAGAAACTTCTGCGGAACATGCTAAGAAAAGTAAAACTATTAATTTTTAAACATTTAGAGTTTATTTGTGTTTTAATTGTCTATTGTAAGAATGAATCTTAAATAGATGATCGGTATTTCTTAATAAATTATTTATATGTAAAATTTTTGTGTATTTTTATTGCATTGAATTTTTCTGTTTTTTATACATAAAAGCAAATACAGAACTTTTTTTTATACTTATTCTTGTTTTGCGATATAAAAGCAACAAACCTAAGTTGTGTATACCCATGCTCAAAAATGCTGTTCACAGTGTTATATATTATATAGAAATAGAGTTCAAAATTTCAAAACGATCGAAATCAAACCTTCATAAGGCAGGTAGAAAAATTCTCATAACTCCGTAAATTTTGCTCTAATCGCCTTGAAATTTGGACACGACATTCTTAGTATAATATTAATAAATTTACTTTCCCCTTAGATACACTATTTGTGCACAATTTTTTTCCAATAACTTCAGTTGCTGAGCATATACACTGTAAAATAAAATATTCATATGAAATTTGAAGTTGTTATTATAGGAATTGATTGTACAATAGTTCGATTTCGTCCATTTTCATATTGTTATATAAAAATATCAAGATACAAAAATTTAAAAGTAGTTAAGTAGTTGTTAAAATATAAGATTACACTTAACGGTACAATGCTTATTATCCAATTTTATCGCCGAGTCTATAAAGTCATTCCGTTCCATTTTGGCTGTGAAATTAATTGCTTCTCTAGTTTTCAACATAACCGGGAAGTGGACGTGGTTATCTAATATCAACCAAATTTACCAGAGCGAAATTGTTCTGAGCAAGTTGGATCGATTTAGCTATCGTATTTTATAAGATATGCACATTAAACCTATTCGGGGACGGAGACGCACCCCTCTGTTCAGGCGTCTGCAAAATTTCGTTCTTCGCATTTATATATATTTCTTTTTTTATAGACATTTCACTCTTACAACTGATTGGTACGTTATGAAGACAGTCAGATAGACGGGAACATTTATAATAGGTTGTACCGCCATATTAAACTATTTCCAGAAGCATGTTCACTTAAGTTGATTAAGATATATAGCAAATCGACAAATATATACGGATACGAATAGATAAGATTGAAGGAGGAAAATAATTGTATTTGATATATACGAAAATATTGGTTTTATTAATTTTGGGTTAAAATTTATGTGATTAGATTATTTAATTGATTTATTAGCAGATATAGTCACGCACACGTTTTAAAAAATTTGAAACCAAACCTGTCCGTCTCGACCTATAATTCAACAGTCCTATATACGCAAGGAATTCGCGCATGCGTTTCTTGGAATTACTATAATTTTACTCAAATTAACTTTTACAAGGACAGATAGACATTCTGAAATCCGAAATCTATTCAGCTCGTCATCCGATCTACATCTAGTATCTACCTCGCCTTAGGTGTTACAAATAACCGTTATGTAAACAGAACTAGTATACTCTATACAATATGTACTGTAGCAATAATCAAATTTTTCCTTATCGCCCTAATTTTGTTAACTATTTTATGAGCAGCAATTAAATGCAGACAGCTTTTGATAATGAATCTATTTGAAAATGTGACTAACTTTTTGCATTTATGGTTGGTTTGTAATTATAATTTTCTGTATTTTAGCTTATGTCTGGGTTTTATTTTGAAATAAAAACCGTATACAGAAAGTCATAAAGGTTGATCGAGAAAAGGTTAACACAACTTTGAAATCATCATGATGAAGTTGGATCAAACTGGTTGGTTGCCATAGTCTTTTAAGTATGTTTGTGTTATCTTTGCTTTTTCTAAGTTGTGAAATGGTAATGTACTTGCAAGCAACTTAATTGTTGGTCACAAAAAATAGAAATCGCACCAGTAAGTATTGATGTTTGATTTCTGTACTGTAAAGTAAAAGAAATTATGTGTGATTGTCATCCGATTTCGCCCAGTTTTCGGTAATCTCACACACCAAATTTGGTTAATATCAGTCAAATAGTTGCTGATATATATAAAGGGCTGTGAAATTTAATGCTTGTGGCGCATTTATTCAGTGAGTGATCGTACTTTAAGTAGTTTTCAACATAACCGTTGGATGAAGAGTGGGCGCGGTTAATATCCGATTTTACCCATTTTAACAAAGTTTGAAGAGTTAATAAAATAACTTCTTCCAGGCAAGTTTGGTTGATACATCTTAGGCGATTTGGAAGATATGTGCATTAAACCATTTAAGGGTCGGAACCACGCCCACTTTTAAAAAAATGTCAGCCCACAGATATCTCTGGCTACGACGAGCTCCTGCAACAATTTACCGTTTTGTATCTTAATTTGCGGCTTAGTTATAGCACTTTAAAAAATTTCGTTTAGTTGCGTTTTGTGAGCGTGGCAATGTTCCGATTCCGCCCATTTGCAATACCACCACCCTTGGGTGTCAAAGAATATGCGTACCTAGTTTCTTGAAGATGTCTTAATTTTTGCTCAAGTTATGTACGGACAGACAGTCACCCGGATTTCAACTCATCTCGTCATCCTGATCGTTTATATATATATAACTACATATAGGTATATCTCGATTAGTTTTAAGTGATACAAACAACCGTTAAGTAAACAAAACTAATATACTCTGTTGCAACATGTTGCAAGAGTATAAAAAGTTCCATACCTACAATTACAATTACTGATACCTATACCATACATACATACATACATCAAAATGTTACTTGTCATCAGAAGCGAATTCGAGGCTAAAACGGATCAACAAACTCCAGCGATGGAAAATACCCAAAGTAACTGACCACCCATTGGTGACACCATACACGTCCATATGTATATAGTATTGTATATGAATGTATATATGTAAGTAAGTATCACGTAAGATCTATATAAAAAGGTGATAATGGTCCACTCAATTAACCATTCAAAGAAATGTGCTACATTTGACAGCGTGAACACTGCGTGGCCACAAGAATACAAACAAGCCGAGAGACTGTGTACAAATAGTTACACTATCTCTATCAGCTTTAAGCATAATATGCGCGTACACTTCAGCGCTCTGCCGTGAATGAAGATGTTAATCTGCCGAAAAATTAACATTTAATCAACTCAATAGTTTCGGTAGCGTAACAAGTTCGCATGTCGCTTGCGTGCGATATCACCCACTCGGATTCAAATTTACATACATATGTTTGTATGTATTTAAGTATGTAAATATTTAATTATTTATTTTTGAGTGCACACGTGTTGATAACAAATAGACATATATAGATATCTCATTGAGAAGTTAAGTGCGTAAGTGTGCCAGGGAGATATTGCGTATAAAGTATTCAGTTTCACGGAAAAATTTTTAGTTTAGTTTCGATTAAACTTAAGTTTAAATTTTGTAGTCAGCTAAGCAAGAAAAAGCTGTACCGAAGCTGTAACACGCTTCACAGGTGCATTTTGAAAGCACAAAATAATATAACACAAGAAAAAACGTTAACTTCGGTTGCACTCGAGCTATAATACCCTTCACAAATACAAATGGTTCCTTAGAAAAACTTGATTCCGATCATTCAGCTTGTATGACAGCTATATGCTGTAGGAACCCGATCTAAACAATATCTTCTACAATTCTATAATTGCCTAAGGTGATAATCCATTCCGAATTTCGTGAAGAGTTCTTGTCAAATGAAAAAAATTCTCCATACAAGCACTTGCTTCCGATTGTTCAGTTTGTATGGCAGCTATATACTATAGTGGTCCGATATCGATTCCAACAAATGAGCAGCTTCTTGGTGAGAAAAAGTTATATGCTAAATTTAAGATCGATATCTCCAAAACTGAGAGACTAGTTCGTGTACATGACGGACATGGATAAATAAACTCAGCTCAACATGCTGATCATTTATGTATATATATACTTATATTATAATGGTGCTAATATACGGACCAAAATTGGGTTTAGTGCCAACATCAAAGGTGCCCTGCTTCGTGGTAAGAATCGATTGGTACTTAGCGACTTCAACGCGAAACACGTTCTTTGGCATTCCTGCTTATCAAACGATCGTAGGGAGATCAATGACAAAGCACCCACCAGAATTATGGGTAACTGTATCAGCTCGTTTGACATCACCATCGCTAATGGAGGCTTGATAAAAAGCACCTACGATAACTTTAACAAAGCTAACTGGGTCGGCTTCACAGAATTCACCTACTGCCCGCTTCATTCCAGCTGGTAGAGTCTAAGTATTACGACGTTTCCAAGCTGAAGCAGCAGTCCTCGCAAATTAGCGCGACACCTTACGCCAGGGCGATTTCTGTGATGCCCGTATAAGGCATATCAATTTGGAGATTCGATAACTGGAAGATCAACATAAGCGGAAGAAATGGTTGGCGCACCTCTCCGCCAGAGTGAGCAAGCTTTGTACTACTGTCAAATCCCTGTCCAACCCGATAACCTCGAAATCCAGGCAGATAGTTGTGATACTTTAAACAAATGTCATTCATTACAGAATATGGAAATTAAGCGAAATTAAGTGAAAAGTCCGGCTTTGAAAGAGTGAAAGTTCTTCTCATGCTATTCAAATGGCACTTTCAAATGACATATTTTGGTAAAGCCCACAAGATATCTGATCGTTTATGATACGTATCACGAAGCCATTGTTATAGGTATATATTGATTTACGGAATTTTGGACTTGAGTCGGATATAGTATAGTTTGTAAGCATTCATCTAGGCAATTGTATAATATGCGCTGCATTTATAAAGAAAATATAATTTACAAACATTTCGAGCATTCTAACTAAATTCAAACTCATACACAAAATAACTCGCATCATTAGTTTTAATTACAATTTGTTCATTATTATTTTACTTTTTAATTACAATTATTAACATAATATTTACCTCCAGCGCCCATTACTGTAAAATTTTCTTTAACTAACTGAGTTTTTCTTACTTAATATTAATTAACTTAATATTTTCGCATATTTGAATACAATCTTTAAACAATCTATGCAATATGAAGACCTCTAAATAATTACGTATATATTTATATATATTATATAATAAGGAAATAAGATTATTTCAATTTAAGTGCTCGTGCGAGGGTTATTTTGTAACAAACTCCGTCGTTTTTTCAATTGCCTCGAAGACTCCATTGACCGTCTTTTTCTATGCTTTATTCGCTCCTCTAATTGAAATTGCAAAACATCTGGCTTTGTATGTAAAGCAAATTGTATTTCTGGCATATTATATGAAGCCAGTAGAAAATTTATGCGGACACGATCCTCTGCTATTTGCTGTAGTAATGCTTTAGTTTCATCTGACGCAAGGAACTCAGCACAAACATCAGGTAAATCCTCACCGGTTTTGTCTGCCTGTGGTTTAGCATTAAGTATTTTCGGCGGAGTCTTCTGTAATTTTGGCGCCTTATTCTGTTGTATACCATCGGTACTGACAGTTGTTTTGTTTTTGGTCTTTGATGGCGTCTTATCTTCCTCATCATCTAGGGCTATTGTTTCAAATTGAATTTCCGGGCTTGCACACAGAGGATGATGCATACTCTTGCGCCGACTGCGTTTAGTTTGTAGTGCTAGAGCTGCGTTTGAAGTGCTAGCTGCGACTTTAGTGCTGGTGGCACTAGTACTTGTAGACGGGCTCTTTTGTATAGTTGATGTCGCTGGAACTTGTAAGGTATTTAAGGACGAAACTTCCGAAATTATTAACGGAGGAGGGGAGTTACTGCAAGAAGGAATACTTTCCCGTGGCAAAACTTTCTGTATATGTGAATCTGTAGTAGTGGGAACATTATTTGGCGCAGTCGAAATAGAGTTGTCTTTCACTACATGATCACTTTCACCTCTTTCTGATTCCTCCTCTGAATCAGAAATCTCTATCACTTTCGACATAATAAATGTAATTAATAAGAGGATATCTTTGTAAATACCACAATTTGTTTATCAACTATTTTCCGGCGTTGCTTCTTTAACAATTGACAATCAGCTGTTATTAGCAAAGACACATACCATAAAAATATCCCAGCTGGGATATTAAAGACAAAACAAAATGCCAGATTAAAATATTTTTCAAAAATACAGAAAATGAAATGAAATAATGGAAACATATAGTAACTGCTAACCTCAAATATCGAAATTCAAATAGAAACACATAACTTAAATAAGAAAAAATCTATTTAAATTATACTATAGTAAAGATATTTTCATTGGAGTACGAACTTTCTGATATTCTTATATCTGCTGACCGTAGCCTCCCACTTTCTGGCGTTGAATATATTTTAATACCTTTTATTTTTAATGTAAAATCTACTCCTGCAATCCCACTATTTGTTAAATCCCCGGTGAATTGCTTAAAAGCGCCACCAGAGTCTGGTACGAGTTTCTTAAAGCCCAATTTAAAACTCTAACCAAAACGCGTGTGTATGTATGTTAGCTCATCCCTTTCTTACGCAAAGCATTTATCATATGATAATGTATGTAGGTATATATGCGTTTTGCACAATTAGGGTAATGCTTTTGGTGAACTCACCGTTTAAATAGCTGAATCAGCTACCGTATAAACCGGTTAGACCAAACCATAATTACGTATACAATTTCTGTGAAGGCTCGCAAAAAACACCAAAACTTGAACAAACATTTTTGTTAGTCCTAACGTTTAAATCTCGAATGAAAATTTATTAACAAAGTAATTAATTGTATTACATCAATAATGTTATTAAAAACATGTTTAATATATTTTTGTTAAGTCAATTAGAAATTGCAATATCTCACTTGATATACACATCTATGTTACACATGCAAGCTTAACAACAATTTAATAAATTTATAAACCTTCATAGGAGTATAACTATATTCCTAAAATAAGTTAAAGATTCATTCTTACATTTTATTTTTATACTCTCGCAACATGTTGCTACAAAATATAAGAGTTTTATTCACCTAACGGTTGTATGTATTACCTAAAACTAATCGAGATAGATATCGAGTTATGTACAAATAAATGTTCAGAATGACGAGATAAGTTGAAATCTGGGTGACTATCTGTTCTTCCATCTGTCTGTGCAAGCGGCAGTGAAGCCATTAACACCTTCCCCGAACTCCTCTCAATAAATAGCGTACTTGGAGTCAAACCACCACCCATTGCAGGCGAAGAGTTCGATTTGTCACGAGAATATAGAGTGACCCTTGCGCAACTTCGTTCTGGATACTATAACAGGTCAAACTCCTACTAATCCAAAATAGATTCCAACATACCAAATACATGTCCAGCGTGCAATGGGTCCCCGCATGACTCTAACCACCTCTTTGCTTATCGATATGTAAGAAATCTGAATAAAATTTAGAGAAAATCTATTATAGAATATTTTTAGAATAATACGTATAGCATACTCTTGTGTTAAAAGTGGTTATATATATTTTTCGGTTGACTTTATATCGCATATATCGGTCAATATGTAGGATGACTTAATTAAACTCAGAGAGAAGGTATTTCTAATATCAGTGTAACCCTGTGTCTAAAATTTATAAAATCGGGGCACTACTTCTCTATTTCTCATATCCCCCATATACCTAATATAAAGATTATAAATTTCCGACTACCTGGAACAATTTGTCTTTCTGGTGATGGTAAGTCATAATACCAATGCTGGATAAAATCTGGTCAATATATACCCTAGTTCTCATATACCTTCTATATATATATCAATATGTTAGCTATCTTAGCAAATTTAAGTGAACGTACTATAATATTGAATATACTATAGTTTTTATTAAGTGTGCGAAATCGGTCTACGCATTGCGCCAGCTGTCATATATTACGACTACATATGTATAATGATTTTCGTTAATTTAGCAGACTTTATGCCCAATATGTCGGCCAGTGTTATCTGCACAAAATTACTTGAAAATATGCTCGGGAGTATACTTGAAGAATACCAGACGTTAATTAATTCAGTCCAGAACTTCTCCTAGCCTCAATATATGTGATATCGTGTTTTCATGCATTTTGACTTTCCATCAGAATTTAAAGCATTTTTTTCGGTCAATTGGTGTTATATTTAATTGTAATTAAATGGACAATTTTTCAAAAAAAAAAATAATGTGGTTTGGCGGTAATATGAATATGAATAAAATTTATATAGACCACGGTCAAACCTCATATCCCTAATATAGTGGATTATGTAACATCCGATTGATATTTTCCTCTTAGACCGCTGAAAGTATTTCCTCTTCATTGATCCTTGCAAATTGCGGGAGTATAAAATGTTCATTTACACTTGATCTTGTTAATATTCTAAATTCTGTACATTAACGAAACTTAGTAGGGATGAGACGATTATGATATATTATGAAGATTAAAGTGATAATTATACAAATTTGCATTAAAGTCTTTACATGGTTTGGAAAACTATTCGCTTAAAAGAAAAGAATTATCGAAACTATGCACAAAAATGATGTTGGTGAATATAAGAAATTCTTATTTTATGGGCAAATGCTTAATTGACGATAAATCTATATGGTGCGGAACAGAGTTGTGTGTGAAGTTGAAGTTCGCAATTAATAAATTCTTACCTTAATACGAAAAATTCCTACATTACTAATTGCTTATTTCAATTACTGAATCGTCCCTCAGATGAAGTACCCACACAGAGTCATGGGATATCAAAAGCAGAGCTATAAAATATTAACTCATTAACCATACAAGTTATGCAAATGTTGAAAAATGTAAATGCAAATGAAGTATTTGAGGACATTAACTATATGCAAAATGTATTTTTGGCAATTCTATCTGCTATTAATCCTAACATTATAAAACAAGATATAATTGCCTCCACATTTCAAATAAGCGAGAATAATATAATAATGCAGAAACACTGGTGTAGTGATGTAGGTCTCCTATTTCAACTATAAATAAGAAAAAAGGCCGCAGCGAAGCTATAATACCCTTCAAGGGTGCAGTTTTTATAAAGGGTATAAAAAGGTCTTTAAACTGATTTTGATCTGTCAGTTTGGATAGCAATTTATTTGGAAATTGTTGCATTGACTTAGCTTAGGGGTTAAGCTAAATTCTTGATCATAATATTATATTAAATTATATGCGTTTTATTTCTTCTTGAAAATCACATGTTTAAAAAAAATTAGCCTTTAGAACACACGGTGCACAATATATTATCTTTAAAAGTTATTATTTAATCAAAAGAGGTTCCATTAGACTCAATTCATCGTTCGGAAACGATCAACCAGCAAATCCGTAAATTTTTTCTGTTGCCATTTAAAGCAATGTGCTTCACCACCTGAGACATCATCAAAAAACGCTCTTTCATGTTGGTTTTCAGTTTTGAAATTAGAAAATATTCACATTGCGATAGGTCAGGAGAACACGGAGGGGAACTCGTTCGTTTTTTATACCCTGAACAGGGTATATTGAGTTTGCCACGATCTTTGTAAGATCCAAAAGGAAACGTCAGAGACCCTATAAAGGGTATATATAAATAATCAGCTTGACCAGATGAGTTCATTTAGCCAAGTCCGTCTGTCTGTCCGTCCGTCTGTATATAAAGAGAATAATCGGAATCAAATGCTTGTATGGAAAACTTTTCCATATGACAAAATACCTTTAAGAAATATAGCATATATCTGTCATACAAACTGTCTGATCACAATCAAATTCCTGTAAGGAATCTTTTGTATTTGTGAAGGGTATTATAGCGTCGATGCAACCGAAGTTAACTTTTTTTTTGTTTTTTGGTCTTCGTTTATTTCATGTGAAACAAAACGTGCACACATCTTTCGTTTACCCAAATCTTAATTTCAAATTCTCCAAATAGTGTTTTTACTCTTATTTAATATCTCAGCCAACATTCTCGCAATAAAATTTGCATCGCTACCAATTATAAATTTTTTCTTTTACTGAAGTGACAGTAACTTTCCTCCGATTTTCGTGACATTAGGTGCGTTTGAAAGAGGATGAATGCATCTTTTTAATGCTGCAAGTTTTCAATAATTAACGCTTTATATTGTATGTTTTAAATAGAAAGTTTAGTTATTTTTGGAACACACCTTGTACTAAACGATTTATAAATAGTCGATACAAAATAGTAAGGTCGAATAAAAGGGTTTATCCTAAATCGACAGTGAAAAATTCTTGGTATTATTCGGAATATGAAAAAAATGTCAAGTTTTCTTTGCCATCCAAATTATAAATAAATATAACATAATTCGAAAAGTTGGCATCAAACGCTTAAGTTTCCATGGCTTCGATGACTCGTATGCGAAGTTTGGTTAGTCAGGTTAGTTTAGGATTTATTGCTTCTTTTGATTAAGTAAAAAAAATATTTTACACTTGAGGCTAATACTTATATTTTTATTTTCTTCTTTTTAGTTTTTAATTCGGCAGCTAATTTTCAATTTTCGAAATTCTGCTGAAATTTATCTAAATAACTAACAGCAATTGAACTAAAATTCTTTACAATTGAATCATATATAATTATTTCATAGCGTTCTTCATTATGTCGCACAATTCGGCACGACTTTTAAAAGCGTAAATGAATGCATGGCATTACGTACAAACTCATATGCCACAAATGCAACCCGACCGTAAGTCTTCGGCGTTTCCAGACGCGCGTAGTAGTTGAGCATTTCCAGCACCAAAAGCAGTGGCAGACGTTTGGTGATAACAGTTTTGTTTGCCAAGCTGTAAGGATTATGTTTTGTAACGGTATAATAAAAAATATTTAAACGGTATAGGAAGACAATTGCTTATATATAAATAGCATTAATACACACCTTTTATAGATTGGCAACGAGAGCACTACACCGGTTAGATGTCCAAAATCGCGAGCCAGCACGAAAATTGCACTATCCTCATGGCGCATTTGTGTTGGATCCATACACCACTTGAAGGCCTGCAAATGAGTGATAAATATTACATCCTTCAGTAAACAACAATGCTGACGTTTACCATGCGCACCGACCAATGCGGATCCATGTCAATACGCAGCATGCCAAAATATATTAACACTGGCGAAATGCTCAGGCAACCGAGAATCAGGATTGCCTTAAACCGACAAAGAGTATATAAACTTTTGGCATATTTGCGGAATGTGTGTATCGTAAAAATCGTGAAAAAGCACGATAACAGACATTGATGTGGAAATTGTGCAGCCAAATAAATGCGACTTATTGACATGCCAGTCCCGGCTAGTATAACCGCTAACATACAACATGCGCTCATATATCGATTGGGCAATTTAAAACGCTGCCAACAGGCGGGCAAAAGTATCAAAGCCATTAAGTAAACAGTTGTGCTGAAGGATACCAAATGGCTCGAAGGAAAAGCTGCTGTCGTTTCACAAGTGCCATGATGTTGCTGTAACGTAGTCGTGGCATTATACTCACGTAACCACCAGTAAGGTCGGTTTGCCGGCGCAGACCTAGCCACAGCAGCAGTAAGTAAACATTTATATTATATAGAAAACTTTTTGAATATACTACAAATACCATTTGACTAGTGAGGAGAGCGTATTAAGTACACCTAACACGCTTACAAGTAGCACCATAAGCTGCTGGCTAAATACACCTATCACTGGAACATAGATGTCTAGTAGTTTTGCTGGCGTCAAATGCTCGCTGAGCAGCAGTAGTATCGGCCCCACAGGCGCAAAACTATAAGAAAGTAAATATGAGTAGTGTGGTTATATAAAGCTTACACTTTGGCACGTAAATTGCACACGGCGATATTGACTTACAAATTTTGCACCCATTGTATAATAAACAGCTCCTCATGGTAAAGTGCTGCTAATGGATTCACTAGTAATGACTCCAACATATTTTAAATAAAATTACCTTAATTTGTGCTCTAAAATTACATTATTTATTACCTTTACTTGCTTGTCAATTATTATGGATTTTGTGCTTTGACATTTTGTGGGCATGCGCACTAACTATTGGCACCCAAGGAGGAATTTCTTTATACAATAAAAAAATGGGTGAAATCAGTTAATAATCACGCCTACTCTTCATTTTCGCCTTCAAAATTTGTGCACTTCACGTTGATTTTATACCGCATCTACTGGTCAGTATGGAAGAAATTGAAATGAAATTCCTAAAGAATCTTTTTCTAATAAAAGTGTTTCTTTTTGCCTGTTATTGTAAATAATGAATGCAATACAATGCTTAAATGACCTTCCTTATTAGTTTTTCGTTAAACTTTCCATTGTCTTCCCAAAAGTGGTGTTTTTTATTAAAGATTTGGCACGATTCTGAAAAAACTAAAAGGTTTTCCAATAAGAGTGATATAACACTAATTGTTAAGGAAATTCAAATGCTTCTTATTTAATGTGAAGTACAATCGATACAATTAAGTTCTAATTTTAACATCAATCAAATGGCCTCCACAACTTCTTATGCAGCAGCGAACTTGATGAACCCAATTTTCGAATACTTTTTCCACTAAATCAATAGCATTATTGATTCTAAAGCTTGAAGAGAGTCTAGTTTATTGCTAAAGACCAATGATTTCAAATAACCCCACAAGAAGTAGTGTAATGGTGTTAAATCACAACTTCTTGGAAGCCATTCAATGTCATAATTTCTTGAAATTATCGAATCTCTAAACTCGTCTCGCAATAATTGGGTTGTTGCACATGATGTGTGGCACGTAGCTCCGTCTTGTTGTCAAGATCAGCTACTTCCAATTGCACCAGACCAAAAACCACACCAAACTATTCATTTAGGTGAATGTAATGATTGTTTATGATAATTTGTGAACCTTCTTCGCACCAGAATCGACAGTTCTGTTTATTTACCGCACCACTCAGATGAAAGTGAGCCTCATCGGAATTGATTTTCTTAAAAAGATTGTATTTGGAAAACGATTATTTTGATAGTAAAATTTAATAATTTGTAAACATTATTCTTGTGTATATCTTAACAAGATGAAATTGTAAACATTACTGGAAAAAATTGCAGATCAAAACATATTTGAAATGACCGAAACCACACTTAAAAATCATATCATCCCTATTCTAAAACCCGGAAGATAATCGAAATCTGTGAACTGTAACTGATTCAAAAGACATAATGGATTAAACAACATTTTGTGCAAATATATAGTGTAGTTTGTTTGTAATCAATTGTTCAAAATAGCAAAATAAAACAGTATAGAAACGGTTTCAATTGAGTTACATGGAATGTGTGAATCTGTGGAGAGAAATATATTTGTTTTCAAAAGAGCACTACAGAACGGTACTCTGAAGATTTTGAGACATATCATAGAAGTACTGCATTGAGCAGAGTTTATAATAGAAATGTTCCAACAAGTTGCTTTAACATTTCTTCAATACAAGGGCGGGCTGCTAATACCATAGCCCACAAAAAGAACCGAAATTTCGATAAGATTACGATTTATTTCTCAACACTGCTAAAAGCATAGCACTTAACTCAGCGATGCTGAAACTTCTTTAACCCGCTTGAATTATACGTTTTTAGGAGATCTGAAAAGTTCATTTGGCTCAAATTTCTCCGCAGCAAGTGACTTTTTCAAGTTTGGAAAAAAGGAAAAAGAAGTCGAACGGTGCCAATTATGAAAAGTATTGAAACGGGGCAGCATTACTAACTTCCTCAATTTGGCCGGGACGACGCTGAAAGAGTATTTATTCGCCCCCAAATGAAACCGTTTTTTCATCACCTGGGCGTCGAATCGTCCCAATATTGCGGCAAAGTAGAGCCCTCTGTTACCACGTATCTGGTTTATACCAGTTGATCCATATTTCGCACGGTTGCGCTTGTTTTCTGGAGTGAGCCCAATGTTTCATACGAGAACTCGGTTGTGGTTCTTGTAGCGGGTATTTATTGGGTCGTTTACTAAGTAATTTCATCCGTTCGGAAAAAAGGTGTTAACTGAGTTGGTTTCATAAGGCATGCAAAAAACGTGGTTAGATACTAGAAATGTAATATGCGTTCAACGTTATCGGAAATGACACGGATTTTATCCGGCCACGTACGTTTTTTCCGGTAATTTCACCCGGTTTGGATCGGTAAGTAGTAATGACTTAAGCGGTCTTTTGAGCTGTCTACTGTCTTAGCTATTTCAATACGACATCGTCAACTTTTGTCAGGCTATCTTCGGTAGAAGCCGCTTTCGAAGTATTCGGACGTGATTACTCAAAATCCGACATGCGACCACATGGCTCTTTACTCGATAGTAACTTTTTCTTTCCACAGTGGTATCATCGGGTATTGTGGCTAAGTACTATGAAATTTGTACGTAGGTATGTATTTTGAAGGTTAGGTCTACCTATAATCTAACAAAAATATATCGGATCATTTCTAGTGAGTGTTTCACTCGGAAAGTATGAGCAATATTGAGACTTCCTCATAATAAATATATATACAAATTCCCTTGATCTATTAAAGTTTGTGTTGCGCTACAAAAACTGGATTGTCTCTAATGTTCGATGCATGTTATAAAACAACAACAATTTACACATTCGTTTTTTTATCTCATACAAACTTATTTAATTCATATAATAAATAATTACATAAGATTTAATTCGTTTTTACAAAATGATAACAAATAAGATTCAATAAATAAACTTCAATTGAAAGAAAGTGTCATAATTTAATGGTACAGTTATCGTATATATACATATACATAGAGCAGAATATAGTAGTGTAATAGCAGTAGTAGTATGTAGTAGAAGTATCAATACTTATATACAAATTATGTGGTAAAATTACATATACATATACAAGCAGTCCACACAGCGACAATACTTCATTTCTCCAGACAAATTCGTAAGTGATAGACAATTTCCATACTGACGGAAATATTGTAAAAGCGCTAATTTGACTAACAATTTTTAAATTACGTTTAATTTAGTTTTTGCTTAACTCATTTTTCGTACGTATTTTTGTGCAAAAGGCAATGAGTTAAATTAAAAATTTACTTAAATATTAAAAATGAGTAGATCCCAGAAGATTTCATAGTTTTTGGTGGCATTAATGTTGTCGTCCTTTCTTTGAATGATTAACCGTAAATGCATTGATGTGTTCCACCAGAAACTAATTCAAAATCCGTCACAATTAACCGAAATTCTCGAAATGATGTATAAAATATGGGAGCTTTCGCGTTTTGTTCACTTCGTCACAAGCCGACATTATGCTCTTCGTGAGCGGTCGCGGTCCACATGAAAAAACGCCAATTTTGGAAACCTGTTTAAAAGAAAATAATTTTACTATAATCGTTTTCTTAACTTTTATTTGTTAGACCGCTGCAGACCCCATAAAGTTAAGAAAATTTGCAAATCGTATTAGGTCGATTGTATTATTATATCTGGGTTTCATACATTTATGAAGATTGGGGAGCATGTGTTGTGGTTGGGAATACTGAACGGTTTATTGCTAATATAAAGCGTCTTTCTGCTACAGCGCTACAAAGATGATATTAATGGAATCATAGCTTTTTTTTTACGAAATTGTCCAACAAAGGCAATTCGAGTAAATATGGCGAGCATGGTTGAACGTAGAAGATAATGTTTGGTTGCAAGTACCTAGTTAGAGCCTTTAAAACAAGGCGATGTACATTAAATATTAAAAAGAAATATAACCTTTAAGTCTACATCTAAATTCAGAAGTTATTGGTTGAAAAATAATCAGATTTGGGGTAATACGTAGAAGGAGTTTAGTTCGAGCTAAACCAATTCAAAAATAATAACTGATGGTGGATACCTATACCACAATGATCACAGTGATAATGGCGATCACACTTCGATATACATAATTTGTCATACCAAAAATGTCTAAAGTTGTCCCTCATATATCGGCAAAGTGCTTTGAGGTATTAACAAACCTGTGGCTGCGACTAATTTTAAATCCACAAAATTCGCTAAGATGACTGAAGATGTGACATCCAATATGAACCTTGATCGACTCTGAGCTATGAGCTCTGAGGATCTTGTAACCACACAAGTTGCGTTAGTTGGAAGAAGCTCTCTGAACTCGCGCGAAGCTTAAGCGTCCATAATTAAACCCTCGTGTGAGGACAAAAAAGCTTCGTTGTATTCTTGAAAAAGCTCACTGCGCCGCTACTTCATCGGTTCCACTCTGGCAACAAGACCTTCGTGTTGAGATGAACCATAAGTTTACTAAATAAACAAAGTCATCTAGTACACAATAAGAGCTAAAGTTACGCTACAAATGCTTTTCAAAATCCTTCACTATTATTAGGGCTTTTTTTGCTGAGAGCAATGAACTTCTTGCGATCGATTCTGACTAAGAAGGATCTTGTAACCGCGCAATTTACGTTAGTTGTCAAAAGCGCACCGATCTCGCATGAAGCATAAGCGCCTAGTATTAAACCATATGAGGACAACGGAGCTTAGATCCATTCTTGACAAAGCTCACAGCGCGGTAACACATTGAGAAAGTTTATTAGTAAGCAAACGTACATATGTATAGGAAAGAACAATATTAAGTGGTTTATTTCTAATAAAGTCTTTGGCTATAAGGTGCTTCATACTTTCTTAGACCGATGGCGAAGATTGATTTAAATTAACCCGTCTCTCAACTATTTACTTACATATGAATGTTTCTTTTGAACGAATTTCAAAAAACTTGACATATCAGGTCGTCCAAAATGATTCACCGCCTTCAGACCCGTAAATATTGAGGTCTTCGATAGGCGCTGGAAGTGATTCTCACAAATGTACTGCAAGAGGAAGAGGCAAATTATTGAAATTAATTGTTTTAAATTTTCATTAACTTGAGTAATTTACCAGCATGGTGGTTCGCAGATCGAATTTGTGGAAAAATTGTGTTATGAAAATGTGTATTTCCAACACATTTGTGACATCCTTCTTCTCCACATCGCGCAGTACATCGATGAACCATTCGAAATGTTTGTGCGAGGGGCAAATCCAAAGGAAATATACCTTCTTGCATGCCACACCCGAGTACCGGTTCGTGCTTGTACCGAACACCAAATCGTTAAGCATTGATGCATAGGGTGTAACACCGATGCCACCGCCCACCATTACCGCTACCTCGAATTTGTACCAGTCCTGATTGCCACCACCAAAGGGTCCTTCAATGCGTATTTTAGGTTGA